GGCTTGTCTTTGCTACCTTTCTTAAACAATGGAACAACATTAGCCACCCTCCAGTCTTCTGGAATTTCATCAGTGGCTAAAGATGAAGCAAAAATCTCTGCAAGGGCCTCTGCAATTTCTTCCCTAGCCTCCTACAACGTCCAAGGGTAGACTTGATCAGGCCCAGGGGATTGATCCACCTTAATGCATTTGGATTGTTTACGTAAGAGCAGAGAAGGCTGAGGGGGCGCACGATTGAGGTATAAAATATAATGAGGGATCTGGACAAGGTGAATAGAAAGCAGCTGATACCCTTGGTTGAGGGGTCATTTGTGTGGGGGCACAGTTTTAGGGCAAGAGGCAGGAGATTCAGAGGGAATTTGGGGAAAGAAACCTTTTCACTCAGCGGGTGATGGGAATCTGGAATGTACTACCTTGGAAGGCAGTGGAGACCAGAAACCTTACAACCTTTAAAAAATATTTGGATGGCTACTTCATATATCATAACATTCAAGGATATAGGACAAGTGCAGGAAATTGAGATTAATGCACTTTTAGTGGTAGTTATGTCAGTGCAGACTCGATAGGCTGAAGGGCCTTTTCTGCGCTATATGAATCTAAGTGCTTTACAACCAATTACATACCTTCGAATGTGCAAATCACTATTGTTATGAAGAAATCACAGTAACCAATTTGCATGTAGCAAGTTAGCTGGAAGGCTTGTTGATGATGCTAACAGTATGGGTTCAATTCCTGCACTGGCTGAGGTTATCATGAAAGACTCTCCTTATCTGATGTGTGGTGATCCTTAGGTTAAATTGTCACGAGTTATCCCTCTAAGGAGAGAGCAGACCTATGGTCTGATAAGACCAAGGCAACTTCACCTTCTCTGAACTAGGTGGCTTTTTACAATAATCTGAGATGATGACCTCTTATTCACAGTTACCAAACCAGCGAAGCTTCTTCAAACTGCAAGTCCACCCCTCCTGGAATAACTGTACACAGCGGGTGTGGTCTCACAATGCACTATATGAGTCGCAAGAATACCACACTTATACTCCATCCCTATCCCAATGAAAGCTCTCTAGTCTGATCATTGCATGAACAAGGTCAGCCGTTAGCTACGGGAAATCTTGACTGTGAATGGTAGATGCAAATCCTGCGTCCTAGACTGTATGTAACACTGCCGCTATTTAAACATAGCAGACTGCATCCAGCTATTTACACAACACAGCTGCAGTGTTTTGCAAACAAGTTTCAAGATTATCAACTCCTTTCACCTTTCCCAATGAATCACAGTGTGTGCTCACCATTGAGTTCTAACCTCACCGGCTCTCACCAGCCACACTTCCAAAATTGGAGCTGAAATTGATGGCAAGGGGTACGCAGGTTGAAGAGGTTCCATACGCAAGTGTCAGCCATGGCTCACTTCCCAACTCAGTGCCTGCTGGTCTCTGGTTTAAGTCCTGATCCAGTATATAATCTAGGCTGGCTTCTCTGAGGGTCTGTTACACCATCAGAAAGTGCTGTCTGGGATGGGTAAAGTCAGAAGTCACCAGGTTACAGTCAAACAGATTTATTTAAAATCACAAGCTTTTGGAGCGCTTTTCCTTCAGGTGATGAAGGAGCGGCACTCCAAAAGCTTGGGATTTTACACCTGTTGGACTATAACTTGGTGTCGTGTGAGTTCTGACTTTGTCCACCCCAGTCCAACACCGGCACCTCCACATCATAGGGTGAACAGAACAGATCTTAGAGAACAGGGCAATTTTCCCCAGTGCCCTGACTGCATTGGAAACCCCAATCAGTAGGTTATCCGGTCGTGATCACATTTCCATCAGTGGGAGCTTGCTGTGCACATTTTCTACAACATAACAATGACTAAACTTCAAAACATACTTCACTGTCTGGATGCTGCTTTGGGGTGTGCTGAGGCTGTGAAAGACATTACAGAAATGCACAGTCTAATTCTGTGAACAGCCATGTTAACACTAATGGGGCAGATGCCACAATGTCCTCCCTTCCTGGAATGCATGTTGCAAGTGCTTTGGTTCATTATTTGCATAGCACACTGAGCTGAGTAGACAGCAATCTGATGGTAATGTTGCTGGTTAAGAGCCCAGTGGCCTCAAGCTAACATTCTGAGTACCTGGGTTGAAATCCCACCACAGCAACTGGAGATTTCACAAACGTTTTTAAAATATTGTTTGGCTCTCTAGCCTTCACCCCTCTACACTACCATCACACCACCTCACAGCCTGGTAACATCTTCCATGTTCATGTCACCTTCATGCAACCTTGTATTCTCTGAGGTATCTCCACATCACCATATACGTAGTCTCTACCTCATGACCATGTCACATCTACTCATCCAGTACTCTCTGTTGGCATGACCTCAGGAGCTATGCAAATACCTTTTTTTTAAAACTTCCAACAAAGTAACAGAAATCTCGTATATACATGCTTAATATAGTAAAATAACTATCATTCATGAAACACATGAAAAACAGTAGTCAAACGACTATAAAAACAAACAAACTTCGATTCAGTGACCATATCAAAGACAGTTAAACCACTTTAGAACTGAGAATCAAATGTCAATTCAGCAGACAGCAAGATCACACAAACAGATGGAGTTTTGGTGCAAAACAGAGAGGGCAGATTGGTTTTTGGTGAAACATTTCATCGGAAAGATGATGCTCTAGCACACGCCCAGCACTGCATTGCTGGATTTTTATGCTTGAGACTCTGGAGGCAGGGTCTGGACCCACAACCTTGTTTCTCAGAGGTAAATTTTACAGAGGCGAGTCAGGCAGGAGGGTAATTTCATGTACCCACACTATAGTAACCTTCCATATTTTGAGAAGAAAGAATTCAGAGAGAGTGAGTGAGCAGGAAGATATTATAAAGAGCTTTAGAACCTAGCTAACAGTTAAAGTCTGCTACTTTTAAATCTCATGTCATGGAATATAAGGCCAAAATGTATCCAACAAACTGCAAGAGGAGTGTTGTAATTTGGACTGATAATAGTTCACTAAGTATAGCATTGAACAAGATGACTGCCTAATAAGAACTTGAAGTTCAGCCTAGTTGTTTAACAAGTGTAATTAGTATGTTCTATGATAACTGGTTCACATCTCTTGTTGTTGTAGATTGACCACTCTGTAAATAGCATTTAAGTTCTCATCTTTAAACTGTCTATTTCACACATCATTCCAAAGAAGTGATGGAAAATAGCCAACACTGCACTCACAAGCTGAAAGCAAGGTGTGAGAAGCATATGAACTTCCAAGAAGTCAGATTCTCTCTGAGACACAGCAAATAATCATGAGCCTGTACCTGTGTGTACCATCTCTCTTATTTCCACTGAAGTCATTCACTGGAGGCTTAGGAAAACAAACTTTAGAAGAATGTTTCCAAGGGATGACAGAATTCAGTGACATGATGGATTGCAGAAACCAGAGCTGTTTTCCTTACAGAAGGCTGAGACGAGGTTTGACAGAGATATTCAGGACCATAAGGGTCTAAATAGTGCAGGTAGGGAGGAACTGTTCGCACTGGTGGAAGGATTAAGAACCAGAGGACACAGATTTAAAGTAATTGGCAAAAAAAAACTACTAGTGGCGTAAAGAAAACTTTTGTTTTAAAGCTTTGAGTGATTGTAATGTGTAACGTGCTGCCTGAGAATGTAGTAGAACTAGACACGGTAGTGGCAATTTTATAGGATTAGCTGTCTTTGATATAGAAGTTTATTTGTTTATATATTATATTGACCACTTGAGGGGATTCAAAATCTTTGAATGTATTTCATGAATGAGTTATTTTACTGTATTAAGCATGTTTATGAGAAATACTGAGCTAGTAACTGAAAACCCTAGGCTAATGCTTTGAGAACATGTGTTCAAATCCCAATATGGCTAATGGTGAAATTTGAATTCAATAAAGTTTTGAAATAAAAGTTAGTCGAATGGTGGCCATGTAACTGTTACTGTTTAAAGACCCATTTGGTTCACTACTGCCCTTTAGGGAAGGGAATCTGCCATCCTTACCCAGCCTGGCTTACATGTGACTCCAGACCCACAGCAATATGTGCGGCCCTTTGGTTAATTCGGGAGGGTCGATAAATGCTGGCCTAGCCAATAATGCCCACATCCCATGAATAAATTTAAAAAATTCAACTACTGGTTTCAAAAGAGAATTTAATAACCATCTAAAGAAAAAATGTATTTGGGTCTCCAGGATAAGAGGTTGTATGATTAGCTGAATTGCTTTAGCAGAGAGTCAGCATGGATTCAAGCAATGGATGGGCTTTTTCTATGTCCATAACTAGTCTACCATTTTATGTACATATGTTACCAGTTCTCTATCTCTGTATTACATTACCATACATAGTCAAAGTCTTCCACTCTGGTGTTTTTCACTGTCTAATAGTTAAACTAGTTTGTCTCTCTCTGTCTCACAGATGTAAATATGCCTACATTTACATAGCACCTTTCGCAGCATTGCAATGTCGCAAGGCACTTTACGGTCAATGAAGTGTTTTTGAAATTTAGTTACTGTTGTGTTGTCAGAAATTCAGCAGCCAATTTGCAAAATGGAAACCTCCACAATAGTAATGAAGATAATGATGAGATAATCGATGGTTTTGAAGTGTTTTGGGAGATTGGCTAGGTGCCTGAGGGGAAGCTATCCTGTTCTTCTTCAAGACAGTACTTGGAGATGTTGGACAGGAGACAGGGAGCTGGGTTTGCTATCTCATCCAAAGGCTGCAGCTCTGACAATGCAGCAATCCCTTGGTGCTATACTGGCCCTGTCAGCCTGGATTACGTGCTCAAATACCCTGAAGTCAATCTCAAACCCACATCCTTCTGAATTAGACAAGAGTACATTGCACTAAATCATGGTAACACATCCGCGTGGATACATGTGAAGACAGATAAACCTTCACACATACGTTTTACTCTGTCCTGACATTCCACCTGTTTGTTCACACTCTTTACCAACCTTT